CACACATGTTGGTGTGCTTCTTCCATGAGGGCTTTGTTGCTTCTGGGCTAGATGGCCGCTTGTTTACTTTCAAGCCTTTAAGTCCCCAGATGCTATAGGTCTCGATAGCCGGGCACCATCAGCCTTCTTCACCACACTTACTTATGCACACATTCGTCCCACTGCCTTCTTGCTAAGACAGAATTCTGGGAAGCCAATTTACACTGCTGCCAGCCTAGCCCTTAGAGATTTTTAGACCCTTTGGAGCTTTCTTGCCATCTGCCTGCCATTTCCATCCCCTTTCTTCTCCCAGGTCTCTGGCAGTCCTCCTTGCTAGTGTCCTGTGGTGCCGATGGCACTATATGAAGGGTGTGTACCCTGCCATCAAGCTCTGCGGCTCCAGCCCAGTGATTTGGCTCCGCTCACCTAGTGGCAGCTTCCAGGAGAGCTGTTTGTTCTCTTGGCAGTTCGTGGTACTTGCAGTGTTCTCCACCAGCACCATCATTCACATGCACCAAGTCTTATTTGGTGTTCCCTATTCAATGTCCAACTCCCACACGCATCTTCCTGAGGCCATTGAAAACGCCACCGCTTGTGTCGGCACAACTGAGTGCAAAGGAAAGGTCTCGCGCAGCAGATTCACTACTTTTCTGTTAGTTTGTTGTACTGTGGTGGCTTGTGGGTTGCTGTTGATGCTGGGCGGTCTGTCACTGGTATTTCAGATGCTCGCAGGGTCACCCCGATGAGCAAGTCTCAGCAGAGCTTCCAGATTCACAGCAGACTATTCAGAAGGAATAGGCTGTCCACTTTGGAGGAATGAGCCATTTGAAAACCTTATGTATAGCATTGAAACATGGACCAATACTGAAAAATAATTATAAAACTTTTCAGAAAACAAGATAACCCAGGAAGGTAAGTATAGCTACTAGTGTTGCAGTGTGTCCAGGCACACATTGTTTCCAAATGGAACATGCTTAGTCATGTCTCTCCATTTAGCAGATAGCTTCAAACAAGTCCTCTCAGTAATACACTTGTCAGCTTAGGGTGCTTTCAAAAATAGGTCCAATCAAAACTGTGCCTTTAGAAGGGATCTACGGGGGCAGTTAGAATCAAAGCAGATGTCAGCTCAGAAAGCTAAGGTAAGTGTTTTGTGGACTCCCAAAGGGTAATTTTGATGTTACTTTGAACACAGGATAATCATGGGAGATTATTAGGGAGAAGTTTTAAGAAAATGGAAAATGGCATAGGTGATGAGGAAAAGGGCAGGAAAATTACACTGAGGAATTTTTTCCATCAGGACAATGCACCTGCTTATCCTTCGGGGTAGTAAGGGCTGTCCCACAGACTTTTATTAGGAAACCTTACTCTACCCTCACAGCAAACTTCTTCTTCTTCCCCAAATTAAAAAAAAACAACAACCCTGTGAAAGGACCCAGATCAGAATCCTTTGATGACACCCAAACTGCTGTTTCCACGTGATGTACATTGAAGAGCACCGAGATTTTCAGGAAAGGTTTAGAGACATGGAAACAACACACTAAGAAGCGCATAGACCTAGATGGAGAAAGACTCACCTTATATTTTGATATTCTTTATTTTGTAAATGATTTTATAGCAATATTGTTCACTTACACCCATGTTAATTGTCTAAAGAAATACAGATAGGCATAAGAACAAAATTGAAATCATCTATAATTCCATTATTCACTGATAGCATTTTTAGCCTTTTAGTGGACCAAAATATATCCTTCTAGACATTTTTCTTTGTTTTGACACATTTCCTCTGAAGATGGAATTACGGTCATACTCCCTTTGGGGGGGCGGTGGGTGTTACCATCTCATTTCATATATTGTGGCTATTGTTCCGTGTCCAGTAATGTGTTTCGTGGTTCGTTAAATGTTTCATGTGCATAACCATTGCCATAGTGCCGATTCCAACTCAGGGAGGCCCTATGTGGCACCGAGTCCAGCCTTCCAGGTTTGCTTGGCTAACATCTTGATGGGAGCAATCCCTACTCCTTCCTTTGTCAGCACCATTGGGTGGGTTTGAATCACCTACCTTGGGGTTAGTAGCTGAGAGCCAATTGTTTGCACAACTTTACACGTGTGTGTGTGTGTGTGTGTGTGTGTGTGACTGTAGATCTGCATACACAGTGGCTGCAACAATGGGCTCGGACAGTAATGATGAGAATGGTGCAGGACTGGGCAGTATTTTGTTCTGCTGTGCACAGGATAGCTATGAATCAGAACCAACTCAACGATATCTAACAACAACAACAATAGCACACACACAGTCACACTTATATATGGAGTCCTGTTAGTGCTATGGGTTTGGCATTGGGCTGCTCACCACAAGGTTGGTGGTTCAAATCCATATGTAATCCTTGTAGAAATAATAATTATACACTCATAAAAAATTCAAGTCAAATTATACAGAATGTATAGCATAGAAAATAAGTCTTCATTAATCCTAGCCTTGAGAGATAACAGTATTGTTAAATTTCACATTGGTATCATTTTACATACAGACTAGACATCATTAACATATGTAGATTTCCACCCAGATTGGACTCACACTATTCTGTCATTTGTTTTCTCGGCTCTGGAGTGTAGACTTCTTTTCCTCAGTACTTGAAGCTTCACAGAATCTCATAGGCTTCTTGGTTTTTCTTTCCTGGGCAACCAAGCACCTGCGAAGGCTGAAGGAGAAACAAAACAGCAAATGTATAAAACCAGTTGCCATAAAGCAGACTCCAACTTAGGGAGGGCCTACGTTTTTTGGAGCAGACCGTCCAACCTTTCTGTTAGTAACCGAGCAGGATGACCATTTGAACCTCTAGGGACTCTTGGGGAGGGTATATGCAAATGAACAGGTCTGGCTTCCCCGCCCTGCAGACATCCAGTTCTGTAGCACAGGGGGTCGGATTCCTGGCTCAGGATGTTGTTTGGTTTTTTTTGGTCTCTGCAGGTGTGTATATTCTCACTACAGCCCTGATCCCTGCACTTGAGAATGAACATGACCCCAGAGTGGTGAGTTGATGCTTTGGGAACCTTTGTCAGCGATGGCAGAAGCCAAGGATCCAGCAGTCCTATGTTTGTTACCCCTAATGCCTCATGGGACCATTCAGCCTACATCCACAGGGAAGACTGATGAGGTTCACAGGGCATTTGTCTCCCATGAAAGAGCCTGAAAGAAAGCCAGCCCGGACAGGGCTAGCCAGGGTGGCAGTGGAGCAGGGCAGATGAGAATGGAGCGGTTGGTAAGCCCCTGCTTCTTCCTGCTCGTAAGGCACAGCCTGGGATTCTCAAATGCTCATTCTAGCAGGAGAGGACTCCTGGAAGTCTGCAGATCCGGGAGTCGGTTTTACATCGACATTTCTTGCTCTCAGAAAGCACCCCAGCATCCCTTACTCCTGCCTCCTCTCATTGCTATCGCGGGGACTGCTGCCTGCATGAAAAATAAAAGCAAAAACCAGTTGCCGTTTAGTCAATTTTGACACAATGATGAAGTAGAACTGTTTCTGAAATTTCAGGAGTAATCCAGCCTTTCTGCTGCAATGCTCCATATTGGTTTACATTTCACATCATCTCCCTCTTCATCATTTGCTTTTGTGGTTGGTGCAACCATTTGAATAATAGTTGAATTGCTTGGAATTCCTTCAAGGTGGATAGATATAATCCTATCATAGACAGCATTGTACTTCAAATTTATTTTGCAATAACCTTTTGAGTTTTGTGTGGTTAAGCAAAACCAATTCTGTCGTGTATAATAATTATTTAAAGGAATATATTTCATAGCTGCTGTTATTAAATGTGACAAAGTGTGAACATTATTTTTACTCTATTAGCAGAAAGCTAAAATGGGTCCTTTGTGCTGTTTAACTACTAGGATATTATAGCTTTGCCATTGATTTAGGTTTAGAAAAGAATAAAAAGAAGCCAAGAGAAGATAGGTGGAATTATGAAAGGCTATATAGAAAAATGGAAAACATTAAAATATCTGAAAAGCAGGAAGGTTTTGAGCATGAGTATGGCTTGAATGTCTGTCAGTTCGTCATGCTGTAGTGGTTTGTGTGTTGTTGAGATGCTGGAAGCTGTGTCACTAGCATTTCGAATGACAGCAGGGTCTACACTCAAAGTGATTACGTTTCAGTGGACTTTCCAAGCTACAACAGGTAATGACAAAGAATTGGCTGCCCACTTCAGAAGAAGTAGCAGCTGAAACCTTATGGATAGCTTCAAAACATGGTCAGATAGTGAAGGCCTACTGAATGGACACAGAGCTTGTTGGAGATAGTGCCGGAGGATGGGCCTGGGGCTTAAGGGTACTCAGAATGTGACTCGGGAGCTGCTTTCTTGGAGTCCACCACGGTGACATGAATGGAGTGAAGCTGGTGGGAGTGGAGCCTTCAGGATCTCATGTGCCAATGGGGCAGGGGTCAAGGTAAGAAGAAACAGCTGCAAAAAATCTGCTAATGATCAGAACATAGAATGTGTGACATATGAATCTAGAGAGATTGGAAATCATCAAAAATGAAACTGAATGCATAATGATCCAGACCGTAGGCATCAGTGAGCTTAAGTGGGTTGTTATTGGCCATTTTGAATCAGAAAATCATATGCTGGAAATGACAACATCAAGAGGAATGCCATTGCATCGTTGTCAAACCAGATATTTCAAAATCAATTTGAAGTACAATAATGTCTGTGATAGAATTATATCTATCCACCTTCAAGGAAATCCAATCAATACAACTATTATTCAAATGTATGTACCAACCACAAAAACTAATGATGAAGAAATTGAAGAAGTCCACCCAAATCTTCAATTGGAAATTGATCAAACATTCAATCAAGATACATTGATGGTTATTAATGATTGGAATGCAAAAATTGGAAGCAAAGAGGAAGGAACAGTAGTTGGAAACTATGGCCTTGGTGATAGATAGAAAGGAAGCTGGAGGTTGCATGATAGAATCTTCCAAGGCCAATGACTTGCTCATAACAAACACCTTTTTTCAACAACACAAAAGGTGACTCTATCCATGGACTTCTCCAGATAGGATACAAAGAAGTCAAGTTGACTACACCTGTCAGAAGAGATCACGGAGAAGCTCATCATCAGCATTTAAAACCAGGCCATAGGCTGACTGTGGAACCAAACCATCAATTGCTCATATGTAAGTTCAGGATAAAGCTGAAGAAAATGAAAACAAGTCCATGAGAGCCAAAATACGACCTTGAGTCTATCCCACCTGAATTTCGAGAAAACCGAAGAACAGATTTGATGCATTGAGCACTAATGACAAAAGACCAGATGAGCTATGTGAGGGCATCAACAACATCATTCACGAAGAAAGCAAAGGGTCGTTAAAAAGAGAGGAAAGAAAGAAAAGATCAAAGTAGATGTGAGAAAAAACTCTGAAACTGGCTCTAAATCATAGCGTAGCTTAAGAAAAATGGAACAAATGATGAAATCAAAGAGCTGAGTAGAAAATTTCAATGGGCAGCTCCAGAAGACAAAGTCAAATATTATAATAAACTGGGGAAAGACCCGGAGCCCTGGTGGTGGAGTGGTTATGCGTTGGGCTGTGATCCTCATAGTAGGCAGTTTGAACCCACCAGTGGTACCGCAGGAGAAAGAGTGGACTTTTTACCTCCATAAACAATTACAGTCTTGGAAACCCACAGCGGGTCGCTATGAGTCAGCATTGGCTCAATGGCAGTGAGTTTGGTTTAGGTGCAAAGACTTAGAGTTAGAAAACCAAAACGGAAGAATATGTCCAGTGTATCTTAAACGGAAAGAACTCAAGAAAAATATCAAGCCTCAAGTTGCATTGTTGAAAGAGCCTATGGGGAAAATTTTGAATGATGCAAGAAGTATCAAAAGATGGAAAAAATACCAAAAGTCGTTGTAGCAAAAAGAAGTAGTGAGCATCCCGCCATTTTAGGAGGCAGATGAGCATGAATGAATGGTGCTGAAGGAAGTTGTTCAAGCAAAAATCAAGGCTACAGCAATGCTGGAATACTGATTGAAGTGTTTCAATATGCTGATGAAGTACTTTTAGCACTCACTTATCTATACTAAGAAACTTGGAAGACAGCTACATGACCAACTGACTGTAAGAGAACTAACCATATTTGTGCCCATTCCAAAGAAAAGTGACCCAACAGAATGCTAAAACTATAGAAAAATATTGATACATCATACAAGTGAAATAATGCTGAAGATCACCCAACAATGGCACAGTACATTGACAGGAACTATCAGAGGTTGAAGCAGGATTTAGAAGAGGATGTGGAACAAGGGATATTATTTCTGATGCTCGGTGGACCTTGGCTGAAAGCAGAGAACACCAGAAAGGTGTCTTCTTGTGTTTTATTGGCTATGCAAAGGCATGTGACTGTGTGGTCATAACTATGTATAACCTTGAAAAGAATAGGAACTCCAGAATATTTCATTGTGCTCATGTACAACCTGTACATGGATCAGAAGGCCATATGCAAACAGAGCAAGGAAATACTGCAAGACTTAAAATCAGGAAACGTGTGTCACGGTTGTATCCTCTCACCATAATTAATCAATCTGTATGCTGAACAAATAATCAGAGAAAATGGATTATTTGAAGAATGTGGCATGAGGATTGGAGGAAGGCTTATTTACAACCTTCAGTATACAGATGACATAACCTTGCTTGCTAAAAGTGGGACGTGAAGCTTTGTTGATGAAGATCAAAGATTGCAGCCTTCAGAAGAGCTACAACTCGATGTAAAACAGACCAAAATCCTCACAACTGGACCAATAAGTAACTTCATGTATGGCAGTTATATAATCTCTTGTCAACTTGTGAAGGGATGGAGTCTAGCCTGTCCATCAGGTCGCAGCTTGATGACCTCATTTGGAGGCGCGATGGAGATAAATAGCTCCCTGGAGGCAGAACAGATACACTCCCTACTACACTCTTCCTGGCGAGACATTCCTGATGACAAGCCTGATGGAGCTCCGCTGGTGCAGCCACTGATGCAGCCAGAGCCCTGGAGCTGGAGGAGCCGCATGGAGAGCCACGCCAGCAATGAGATGCTTTCACCACCACTGAACCACAAGATTTTCCAACCACTGGCCTGTGATCCTCCTGCATTCAGCTTCAAGCATGTGTTGCATGAGTCTGAAGAGGAATTTGTAGATTGGTATCGGAAATATGGGTTGATACCGGACTTATGGATTTGATTTGGACTGGGTTGGGATATTTTCTTAATATGCAATTACTTTTCATATAAAGCTCTTTCTTATACACATATGAGTGTCTATGAATTTGTCTCTCTACCCAGACTAACACCTCATGATAAATGGAGAAAAGGCTGAAATTGTCAAGGATTTCATCTTACTTGGATCCATACTCAATGTTCATGGAAGTAGAGGTCAAGAGATCAAAAGACATGTAACAGGTAAATCTGCTGTACAAGACCTCTTAAGATATTGAAAAGTAAGGAAGTTACTTTGAGGACTAAGGTGCACCTGATTCAACCCATGATATTTTCATTTACCTCATATGCATGTGGAAGTTGGATACTGAATAGGAAAACTGAAGAAGAATTGATGTATTTCAGTTGTGCTAAAAGGACAAACAAGTCTTTCTTCGAAGAAGTATGGGCAAGGATGGCTAGACTTAGAGGAAACGATGGTAAGACTTTGTCTTACATACTTTGGACATACTCCAGTCCCTGGGGAAAGGCATCATGCTTGGTGAGTAGAGGGCCAGGGAAAGAGAGAAAGGATTTCAAGAACTGGATTAACAGAGTAGCTATAACAATGGGCTCAAGCATAGGAACAATTGCAAGGATGGCGCGGAACAGGGCAGTGTTTCCTTCTGTTGCTAATAGGGGTGCTTTGGGTTGGAACTGACTGGAAGGCACCTAACAATAACAACAACAACAGGAGCAGCAGTAGGAAAGAAAAAGAACATTGTCCACGTTAGGAGGGATGCTTAATACTTAGGGAAATTATTGATTAAAAAGAAGTACTAGGAAAATTACTACACTAAGGCATGCATTGCAACCTTCCTTCATTGCTTTGTCACTTCTTTTGACATTCAATAAATCTCTTTCTCTCTTTCTGTCTCGCACACACACACACACCCTGTTCACTTCTGAGGGATTAGCCCCTCCGACCATTATGAATAACAGCGGAACATTGTCTGATAGAGTGCCAGAAGATGAGCCCTTGAGGTTGGAAAGCACTCAAAATATAACCGAGGAAGAGCTGCCTTCTTGCAGGACAGTCAGCCATACTGACGTGGACGAAGTCAAGCTTTCCGGACCTTCCTTTGCTGTTGGGACACAACTCAAAATAGGAAAATAAATAGCTACAAACATCTATTACTAATAAAGTGGAATCTAGGAAAATGGGAAGTTCTCAAAAATGGAATGGGATGAATGAAGAGCATGATTAGCTTACATACGCTGGCATTGGCCATTGTGAATCAGATAATCATGTAATTTACTTTGCCAGGTGTACTAGTGAATCATTTCAAGTTGAAGATGTATGAAAGTACAGGGATGAAATCAAGCCTGTCCATCGGGTCACAGACTGATGGTGCTTCCTTGAGTGTGTGGCCTTCTCAGAAGGACCTTGGGAACCGCCTTCTCTTTCTCCCACTCTGCTTTCCTGCTTGTGAGGACTCTGGCGGCCACCCTGAGAGCTGCTGGGGCCCTTCCATGTTTCCATGACCTTTGACCCACAGGACTCTGCACCCACCAGCCTGTGGTCTTACTTTGCTCTGCCTCATTGCATGTGGTTGCATGGGTCTGAAGATGGACTTATGGACTAGTATCAGACTTATGGACTTGAGCTGGACTGGGCTGGGACACTTTCTTGAGACATTACTTCTTGTTATATAGCACTTTCTTACACATATCATATATACTCGAGTATAAGCCAACCTAAATATCAGTCGAGGCACCTAATTTTGCCACAAAAACTGCATTAAAAACGTGCTGAAAAACTTGGCTTATACACGAGTACAGACGGAATATGAATGTCTCTGGGCTTACTCCTCTAGTCAACCTGGTCTAACACACCAGGAATGATAAATTCAAGCAGAATGGCATTGCATTTATCACCAAAAAGAATATTTCGACATATATCTTGATACAGGAGAGTACAACTGGGTTCTGTCTCAAAGACCATTCTCTATTTTTCATTTAGGTTCTAATATTTGTTGCAACAGCTACACAGATCTCAAAATATTCATGATTGAAGGGTTTATCAAGGTAATTGACTGGTCACAATGCAAATAAGGAAAGCTCAGGATACAGATGTTCATCAGGATGTGTTACAAAGGCATGCCAATCTGCTGTAAGCTTCAACCTGCAAGCTCTCAGTTCAAGCACAAGCACCATGGGTCAGTGAACTCAGCTCCCCTTATCAAGGACTCAGAGGAGCCTCATTCCAGTAAGCCAGCATCCTGCTCCAAAGCACCCAGCTTTACTTGCTCGGTGAGCTGGAAAATCCCTCACTTTCAGGCTCTGACTCCTGAGTGTTCTGCTGTTTGTCTGATGACACAGCGATTTTCTGGATCAAAGGGGCTCACTGTGCAAGACTCTTGGGGGGTCTGCAGGACTTACTTCGCTCCTGGCTCTTGCTGGAAGTGAGAGCCCCTCCTCCTGCATCTCAGAGGGCTTCTTTTATACCCAGCAGGATGGCAATCCAATGTAACCTGAAAGCCATGATAGGTGAATCCTCGCAGTGTCTTCTCCCACATTTTTATTCAGGAAAAGGTCTTTTTAGTGGATGTTACAGAGACTGACTAGAAGAGCCTCATTGAGAAACTCACTGCCCCTGCAGTAACAATCAAATGTATGCACCAATCACAAAAGTTGTTGTTCTTGTTCGGCGCTGTGGAAGCAGTTCTGGCTTATAGCGACCCTCTATACAACAGAAGAAAACACCTCCTGGCTCTGTTCCACCTTCAAGATTTGTAATGTTTGAGCCCAGTGTTGCAGCCTCTCTGTCAGTCCGTCTTGTCTAGGGCCTTCCTCTTTTTGCTGCCTGTGTTAGACAGGGTTCTCTAGAGAGATAAAACCAAATTTCTGATAATATATTTATTTATAAAGATAATTAGATATATAACAAGAAATGAACTGTTAAATCATATACAGATAAATATATAATACAAGAAATAAACAGTTAAATTATAAAGCACTACAAATGGCTCACTGCAACTCACTCCCATGAGAGAGAGTTGTGAGAGACTAGCAGTTCTTGAAGTCTAGTCTGCTGCCAGATCTTCCTCTATTTATAGAGAGAGCTAGGCTATGTCAGCACAGCAGCCAATCACAAGGCAGGTAGCCAATCAGAAGGCAGGTCACCAACCGCCAGTCCCCAGCTCCAGGGATGTCTTAAAGGGACCTCAACTTAGAGCGACACAGTCCACAGGCTAGGCGTCCCACAGGTAGTGTAGCCTTTAAATTGAGGCACACGACAAGCAAGGCAGCCGCACACTGGTCCAATGATCAAAGAGCGAGAGACAAGAAAGGCGAATCTCACCAAGCCATTTATCTCTCTGCCCTTCAGTTAATCCCACTTGTGTTTATGGGCCAGGCTGGCACAATAAACTATCTCACTGCCCTTCTCTAGGGACTGGTCTTTCCTGATAACATGTCCAAATTACATGAAATGAAGCCTTGCCATCCTTTCCTCTATGGAGCATTCTGGCTGTACTTTTTCCACAACAAATTTGTTTGTTCTTTTATCAGCCCATGTTACTTCCAATATTCTTCGCCAGCATGATAATTCAAATGCATCGATTCTTCTTCAGTCTCACTTATTTAACGTCCAACTTTCACATGCATTGGAGGCAACTAAAAGTACCATGGCTTGTGTCAGGCACACCTTAGTCCTCAAAGTAACATCCTCACTTTTCAACACTTCCAATAAGTCTTGCACATCAGATTTACCCAATGAAGTCTGTCATTTGATTTCGTGACTGCTGCAACAAATCAAAAGGGATGCTTTTGATAAATTAGGTAAATCTGCTACACAAGACCTCTTTAGACTATGGAAAATCACCAATCAGTGTTTATTCTAATTCAATGTCTATAAAACAAAAATCCTCACAAGTGGACCAACAGACAACAACATGATAAAGGGAGAAAAGATGAAAGTTGTTAAGGATTTCCTTTTGCTTGAATCTATAATCAGTGCTCATGGAACCAGCAACAAGAGACCAAGTGGTGTAGTGCATTGGGAAAACCTGTTGCCCAAGACCTCTTCTAAATGCTGAAGAGCGGGATTCCACTTTAAGGACCAAGGCATGCTTGACCCAAGCTAAGGTACCTCATATGGATGTGGTAGTGGGACAAGGAATAAGGAAGACTGAAAGAAAATCGACGCCTTGATGGTGTTGGCAAAGACTGTTGAAAGTACTGAAGACTGCCATCAAACCAAACAACTTACCTTTGGAAGAAGTACAGCCAGAATGCTCCTTTGAAGGAAGGGTAGTGAGACTGTCTCATGTAGTTTGTTCATATGTTGTCAGCAGACACCGGTCCCCGGAAGAGGACATCCTGCTTACTGAAACAGGCCAACCAAAGGGAAGGAGAGGACCCTCAACAAGGTGAACTGACACAGGGGCTCTCACGATGGGCTCAAACATCACCAGTGCGAGCACAGCCCAGGCCCTGGCTGGGATGCTATCAGTCGGACTCAGTGGCACCTGCCACTGCCAACGCGAAGTCATATACAAAAGTGAAAGGTGCCAAATGAATTCATTATCAAGTTAATTTTGCTTCCTTTCTTGAGAGAAACCCAGTTTCGCCTAAACCCTTGTAACTAAGCAAGAAACATTTCTTCATTAGTTAAGTTAGAAAATTGTGGCTATAATCTTTATTTTCTCTCATGTAAACTTGCAAGTTGTTCCTTCACTCGATGAAGAACTTTAACAAACCACAGTGGAAGGAAATGATAATGAAATACAGACAGTAAAAAGGCAGTCAAGATTCATGCATGAGGAGGAGTCTCACTTATGTTTATAAATTCCATTCACCTTTATTACAGATAACAGTCTCCTCAGGAGGAATGTTGGTTCAGAAACTGAATACCAGTGATCTACAGTCAGAACACACAGTATTTAGTGGAAAGATAGTCTATGCACAAAACAAGGTAAGTGAGGTGATTTCTCATTGCATTAATGTGCCACATGGTACTTTCCCGAGGAAGGCTGAGTCTGGAATATACTTAATTTGGACCTCAGTAAACAGTGGAGTTCTTGGGTGGTGCAAATAGTTAACTTGCTCATTGCAAACAGAAAGGTTTGATGTGTGAGTCTTGGAAGAAAGGCTGCCGATGCGCTTCGTAGAACCGTTCATTGAAAACTTCATGGAACACCGTTCTCGGACACTCCCAGGGGGGAGGGTCCATGAGTTAGAGTCAACTTGCTGGTGCCTGGTTGTGGCTTAGTGCACAGGGCATTTGAGAATTTTCCCTGGCTAAGGAGTCCTCTTCTCACTAGGAGTCCAGCATAGTGCTGCTCTGACCCAGCATGCCCTGGGAGAGGTCAAAACAAATTCTGCCACCTCTTTTTGGTGTATTTCTTAGATAACACAGAAAGCAATGGTGATCAGTGACCACCAAAACAGGAGGCTAGCAGGGGTGTTCCTCGTCTACACCCCACCAGACTAGTCTTCCATGTAGAGACCGATGCCACAAGAATAGCCTGGCCCATTCTGAAGGGCTTGGGCATTTGATTCTGAAGAATTAAAAGGGCAAAAATAGTCCAGACAACATATGTACAAATGTGCTTGACACAATAGATGGATGTATGGATTGTGATGCGAGCTGTAAGAGCCCCAATAAAATGACTTTTTTTTAAAAAAGAATCCAGATACTAGGTCCATTTTTAACAGAAAGTGTGGTCCTAACTGCTCTGAGCCATGTTTCAACATATGTTAGGCTGGTTAGACTAGAGAAACAAATCTAGAGACATTCGTATATGTAAAAGAAAGCTTTATATCAAAGAGTGATTGTATGTTAAGAAAACATCCCAGCCCAGTCCAGATCAAGTCCAGTATTAGCCCATACGTTCAATACTAGTCCCCAAATCCTTCTTCGGACTCACACAGTCACATGCAATAATGCAAAACGCAGAAAGATCACAGGCCAGTGGGTGCAAAGTCTTGTGGATCCAGTGGCAGTGGAAGTATCTCAGCACTGGGGTGGGTCTCCACATGGCTCTTCAACAGGAAGGTGAGGCAGAGAGAGAGAGGCTCTTGCAGGACTCCGCAAGTCTCTGTGTGGCTGGTCAACAAGAAGATGAAGACAGAGAAGGAGAAAGTTCCCAGAATCCTCATCAGGCCACACCCAGAAGAAGGCATCCTCAGGCTGTGACTTGATTGACATGTAATTATGTAACTACCAAAATGTATTTATAGGGATTTTAGAACTTCACATTTGCCGTTCTTCCTCTGAAATCCACCTGGTTGGTTCGAAAGCCACTGTTTTGGAAGCTGCCCGGGCGCCTCAGCTTTCCTTGTTTGGCGTCGTCAAGCCCTCTCTGGGAATTCCTTTTCTCCATCTTCACCTTGCATGCCTGTGGAGTGTCCATTTTTGCTCAATAACTTATAGGCAAGATCCTGATGATTTGCTAAGCTCTCTGTACTGATGATGAATGACTCTCATGGTCATTCATCATCAATGGTGCTCAGAAATGGACTTCTTCACAAACCGTGATCAGACTGCCCTAGTGCTGGCAATAGCATAAAACTATGTGTATCTAAACATTTAACCATCTCCCATGCATTTGCCAGCCCGGTGACAGTGCGTGCGGTACTGTGAGGAGCAGCTGGGGGTGGGGTGGGGGGAGGTGGGCCGGAGCAGCCCTCACGGACTCATGTCTAGCAGAGACGAGTCTGACAGTGGTTCTTGAAAAGTCTGCGTGCTGCGAGGATTACTGCACCACTATGGACTAAGGAAATCCTGTGCAGCCCATGGGTTTTCATCCTTTAAAAAAAAAAAAAAAGTATTATTAATGAGAGTAGTGATACCGGGAGGGTAAGGGAAAGGTGGGGGCAGAAAGGGGGAACCAATCACAACAGAAAAAGTGGGTGAAGGGAGACATTGGTCAGTGTAAGACATGAAAAAATAATAATTTATAAATTATCAAGGGTTCGTGAGGGAGGAAGGGGAGGAGGGAAAAATGAACTGATACTAAAGGCTCAAGTAGAAAGAAAATGTTTTGCGAATGATGATGGCAACAAATGTAGAAATGTGCTTGACACAGTGGATGTATGTATGGATCGTGATAAGAAATTTATTATTTTAATTTATTTTTACTTAAATCAGTATATTGGGGGCTCGTACAGCTCTTATCACAATCCATCCATCCATCCATTGTCTCAAGCACATTTGTACATATGTTGCCATCTTTAAAAACATTTTCTTTTTTTTTTAAATTATTTTATTGGGTGCTCATATAATTCTTATCACAGTCCATACATATATCCATTGTGTCAAGTATATATGTACATTTGTTGCCCTCATCATTCTCAAAACATTTGCCTTCTACTTTAGCCCTTAATATCAGTTGCTCATTTTCCCCCTCCCTAAAACATTTTCTATTTGAGCCCTTGGGATCAGCTCATTTTTCTCCCTCCCTTCCCTCCTCCAGGTTTTCATTCTTCCGGTAGTCTGTTGGTTCTAATTCTCACTCCTGTGAGTTCTGCTCAGATCGTGAGAGGGAAACCCCAACCGGAGGAAGGTGTGACCCAGGGGGCGGCACACATTGCAGAGCCCAGGACAATGATGGTCTGGGAGCTGCCTCCATGAGCCTGCTGGCCAGCCCCCTGCCTCATTGCCAATCTTCATTTGTTCCTTCTTCACTCCTGTCACAGAGGCAGCAGGTGGTTCTGACCGAGCGATGGGCTGGCACGCACAGGAACATCCACTTCTCGTCCATGCATCCGGGCTGGGTGGACAACCCAGGTAGGCCAACGCCTCCCGTGTCCGTGCTGCTTTTCTTCACCTAAAAATGCCCGAGCAGTTGTGGGACGCCTTCCCATGGCCAAAGACTTCCTCCATGTCCGTGTAGGTTGAGGATGAGGGAGAACCTCTCTAGAGGGAGAACCCCATTCTCCGATGCAGCACCTTTGTCTACAGGGTGCCTGCTCCTACGCCATGGAGAAGATGGTGCTGGGGAGGGTGGGCCTGGGGCTACATGGGCTCTCCTGACTACAACTAGTCATAATGAACCTAGTGGAGAAGCCACTCCCATTTCAATGAAGCACACCAAAGGTATCGAATGATCACTGAAGAGACACCTGGGGTGATCTGGAAGCATGCCAAGGCAGCAACTCCGGGCCCTTGGGCAGGTCGCTTGTGCTGTCTGTAATGAAGGCAACTACAAACAGCAGCAACAATAGCTACCCTCCCACAGAGCACTGTAGGTGTCAGGTACCACTAAGTGCTGCTGCTGCTCTCTGCCAAAAGTCAATGATGACTCACAGGGACCCTGTAGGACAGGGTCGCACCGCCTCTGAGTTTCTAAGACTGTAACTCTTTCTGGGAGTAGAAAGCCATGTCTTTCTCTAGTGAAGTAGCTGATGCTTTTGAACCGCTGACCTTGCAGTTAGCAGCCCAACACGTAACCACTCTGCTGCCAGGGCTCCTCCTCCAAGTGCTGGATGTGCATACATGTATAAAGTTCTCACAGCCCCTAGGAAATGTGCTACGTGAAGAGACCCATTTACAGATTCAGATCCTGAAAGGGTAAGGCATCCCTCCTTGTCCTAGGCCACAGTGTTTAGGGAAGCAGGTTCTCTTACACTGCTGTTCAGTATTTCTCAGGGAAAGGTTGGAAGAATTTATTAGAAGCCTTAAAATGCATTACTATCTTTATAAAAACCTGTTGTCCCTGAGATGATTCATGGCAACCCCGGCCTAGAACTGATCCCTAAGATTTTCTCCGCTGTAATCTTTATGGGAGCTTTTGGGTGGTGAGGAAATGGCATTGGGAGCCCTATCTGACCTCCTCTGACTTTCCTATTGCCACACCGAGGTCAGACATGTCTCCACCCTCCATTCCTTCTTGATCTGTTCTGACACCAACAAGTCCTCCCCATGGCACACTACTTCTGTGTTGGATTCAATCAATAGTTGATTGCATTGGCCATGAACTGACAGACCATATTCGCAATGAAGGGAGTTTATTAGGGAAGTTCCTAAGTCACAAGTCAGGATCACAAAACATTAAGGTTACAGTCATTGGCCCATAGCAACACCTCTCTTCAGCAAGGAGCCAAGTCTCTTTCTGGTCCTCAGCCTCTCAGCCACGGGGGCCCTTGGCCTTTGCTTTAGTCTCATGGCCTCAGCACTGCTCCGCTCTCTCATGTCCTCCTTGGCTCGGCCTCTGGTTTCAGCCTGACTCCTTTGCTCTGTCCCACGGTCTCAGTGCCGCAGCCTTTGGTGCCTCGGGTCTCGCCTCTGCCACTTCAGGCAGATCTCAAACAAGCTCCACTGGTGGCTAATCTTCAGATGGCCCTGGGATTTCTGTGTGTTCCCGCTTCTGAAGTAGCTCTGAAAAAGCCACTGTACACGGAGGCTTTGATTTAGAGGTAGTTTTTGTCTTTTAGCAGACCAAAAGGGAAGTGGCTTGGTTTACGCCTTCGAATGAGGTGGAGACTAAATCCTGCCTTAATACTGTCCATTAGTATAGCTGAGAACTCCTTCCAAACTGTGATTATAGCCCCAGGCACAGAGGCCAGAATTAAAATACATCACAAATAGGATTCTGGCTAGAAGGGCCTTACGAATTGACTTCATCTCAGCCCGCCTCTTAAATGTTCTATGACTCCATCTCATTCCTCTTCTATGGAGTTGTGTGGATTTGAACCACCACTCGTTAGCTTTCCCATGGAGCACAGACTGCTGGTACCACCCAGGCACCCTATGTACAAAGGGGTTTCAAAAACTCATGGAATAGTTCAATTTGTCCATGAACTTGTATTGCTAATAGGGTTCTAGTTCATGTATGCGTGGGTTCTTTCCACACAAAATGCATTAACCTTAACTCTGTAATCAGTGAATGGCAGCAATACATTCTCATTTGAGTGCCTTAAAAAAAACCTCAAAGCAGTGGCCTCCAGTGGGATCTGTTGGGCCGGTTAAATGCAGGGCAGAGAAGCCAGCTCAGACGGTGATGGTGACTGCTCTGGGATCCCAAAGGGGGGCTGTCGGTAAATGTTCTCAAAAGACACAGGACTGTCATGGGGGCCTAGTAGGAAGAATTTAAAGAAAACGGAAAATTGCATTGGTGAGAAAGAGACCTGGAAGGTTGTGCCAAGGAACATTTTCCCATCATGACAATGCATTACTTCGAGGACAGCAGGGCTGTCCTGTGAGAACGTCATTAGACTTACCCCAAACTTAAAGAACATGGGACAAGGAACACAATTTGAGTCTCTTGAGGATAGAAAAACTTGTTTTAGTGTGGTGTAAGTTGAATTGCTCAGAATTTTTCAGGAAAGGCTTAGAGACAGAAACACTGTCTTCGGAGGTGTGTAGACCTAGCTGGAGGCCATGGTGAGAAGCAGTCGGTGGTGGAAACCCGAGGAAGCACCGTGTATTCTGACACACCTGGGAGTTGCCAGGAATCAGAATCGAGTCAATGGCAATTGGGGTGGATATTTTTAATAAAGGTTTCTGTGATTTTTGTAGCATTTACTTTCTGATTCACTCTCTTCTTGTGCATTCATCCAAACAAATAATGAAAAGATATGGAAAACAAAGTTGCCCATTAGAGCGTTAGTGCTAGATTAATTATGAAACCCTGGCACCAAGGAATACTGCTCAGGCCTTGAAACTGTCTGCGATCTATTGCTAAATGAAAAGTATCCGCTTCTCAAATAGGACAGGCCTTTTTGTCTTATTTTTGCTACACACACACCAGCACCCAGACTCCTACAGAGAAAGGCCTATTTGGACCTTGGCCGACGCTGGCCGTCTGCTGCACATACCTGTCACAGATAAAAAGGGAGGGAGGTGCTCAGCAAGATGCACCAGGAGGAGATCAGACTGACGGTTTGGAGTATGGGGCCTCTCAATTCTTCTCATTTCCTAATGAGTATCAGGCTTAGTTTCACCCGGCTATGCGCTTTGCCTCGTGAGTTCCGTACACATCGCCTGACAGCTCCAGCTAAGGTCATTGTGCATATTCAGTGTCTGTGTTGAGCAAGCAGGTCCCTTGGATTGGACATCTGGGTTAAGGTAGTTTCACTACACGTGGCCTACGGGTTCTACAAAGCATTGTCAATCTCAGAGCCTCGCGGTACAGTCAAAACACAGGTACCATTGACTCACTTCTGACTAATGCAACCCACTGTTGTCAGCGCAAACTGCCTCCTGGGCTCTCAGTCGCTGATTTTCAGAAGTAGAGAGTCAGCCTCTTTCTCCCAAGGCACCCACAGCTCCAACCTTTCGGTTGGCAATTGAGTCCATCCAAGGTTTGCACCACACAGGGACTATGAGTGGTAGGGCTGAGGGTTTTACATGCTTCTTTTCACTCACCAGTGTTTATCAATTTCCCCACAACAAGCAAGTATTCTGTGAAAATAAATAGAAATGTTAGTTTTTCCATTTTAAAAAGAGAGAGCATGCCTGAATCAGCTGGCTCCTATCTCTGAACTTCTGTAATGCGGTTTGGGAGAGAACGGCTGTGTTTCCTCACGTGCTCATGTCAGACGGCGTTTTCCCTGAGGTCTGCGGGAAAACGGGTGTTTCACCCGCAGCGCAATCACAAAGCCAGCCCCACCTGCATCCGGGCAGGCCTTGGCTGGGGAGCAGCGGTCACACATGCCAAAGGGCTGGCCGAGGGGTGAGGCAGGGCTGGCTGGCTGGGTAGGGAGGCTGCCCAAGACAACACCCTGGTTGCCCTGGTGGACAAAGCAGACAGCTTGGCAGAGGAGGTTAAAAAAACACACACACACACAAAAACTTTTCCCTTATTACACTGTTCTCTACAAAGAACATTTGAAAACAGTCCAAAAAACCAACAGCCAGGGTTCTCTCTTAATCTCTAAAGCCTGCGGGCAGTCTTAAATTTAACTCTCCTGGCTCTGGAGTGCACCCCCCCCCCACCCCAAGTAAAGCACTGTTGTTTGGGTTAAGTTGAAGGAGCGGCCTCCTCAGAACGCTGAGGCAGTGTGCCCTCAGCACGGGTTGACCTGAAGCCTGACGACCGGGTGCCAGAGCAGCCATTCCCACCCAGTTGTCAGGGGCACCTGAGGATCTTTATGACACACTTCTTTGAAATCCGCCCTTCACAGCTTGGAAAAATGTTATTTTGACTTGAAGTGCTTATGATCCTATTCCATTTTGTGATTGTGTGTGTGCATGTCATTAGAAATGATGCCGAGTGTGATCATTGTGTGTGTGCATGCGCGTGCATGTTTGTGTATTAGAATTGATGCCGTGTGATCATTGGGTGTGTGTGGGTGTGTCATTAGAAATGCCGAGCATCCCAATTCCCTTTGCTTCCGAACACGGTCGTGCTCAGCCTGCCTGTCTACTGTTCCTTCCTCCGCCAGCTGTGCAACTGTCCATGCCAAGCTTCCACGTTCGGATGAGAGACCGACTGCGCTCTGCGGCACAGGGGGCAGACACTGTACTGTGGCTTGCCCTCTCCCCTGTGGCCACCAAGCACCCCAGTGGTCAGTTCTTCCAAGGTAACTAACTTCCAGTCTGAGCCCCCAAATACAGAGCTTGTCAACAAGGAGCTCAGCCTCTCCTGCCCCTAAAGTGTGTGTGTGTGTGTGTGTGTGTGTGTGTG